CTAAATTGAAAGGTTTTGCACAAACAAACCCAGAGAGTTTTCAGAGGAAGAAATTAAAGCTATCTATAGTCATAAGAAAAAATGTTCTAAATCACTATTGATTACAGAAATGCGAATTAAAACAACTCTGAGGTACCATATCACACCTATCAAGTTGGCTAACGTGACAAAACAGGAAAATGATAAATGTTGGAGAACATGTGGCAAAATTGGAACCCTAATGCATTGTTGGTGGAGTTGTGAACTGATCTAACCATTCTGGAGAGTAATTTGGAACTATGGACAAAGGGCTATAAAATTATGCATACCCTTTGACCTAGCAATACCACTTCTGGGTCTATATCTCAAAGAGATCATAAAAACAGGAAATGGACCCACATGTATAAAAATATTTCTAGCTGCTCTCTTTGTGATAGCAAAGAATTGGAAATGTCCATCAATTGGGGAATGGCGAAACAAGTTGTGGTATATGAATGTAATGTAATACTACTGTGCTATAAGAAATGATGAGCAGGTGGACTTCAGAAAAACCTGGAAAGACTTACATGAACTAATGCTGAGTGAAGTGAGCAGAACCAGGAGATCATTGTACACAGTACCTTGATAGACTTAACTCTTCTCAGCAATGCAAAGATCTAAGACAACTGCAAAAGACTCACAATGGAAAATACTATCCACATTCAGAGAAAGAATTTTGGAGTCTGAATGCAGATGGAAGCATACTATTTGCTCTCCTTTTCTTTTGTTGTTTTGTTTTGTTTCTTCTTTCTTGTGGTTCTTCCCTTCAGTTCTAATTTTTCTTTAGATCATGACTACTGTGAAAATGTTTAATAGGAATGATAAGTAGAGCCTATATCAGATTGTATGCAGTCTTGGGGAGTGGGGAGGAGAAGGTTAGGGAGAAAATTCAAAATTTAAAATCTTATGGAAGTCAATGTTAAAAACTAAAAATTATATATATATATATATATATATACACACACACACACATATATACATATATATGTATGTGTGTGTGTGTGTGTGTGTGTGTGTGTGTGTGTAGATACATATAAAAGAACAGAGGTTAAGAGGCCTATGGAAAGTGAATTGTCCAGTGAAGGAGGCTAAGACAGCTTTGAGGTTCAGCCTCTAATGAAACTACTATCAAAATGAAAAGAGTCCACAAGTGAACAACAGGAGAACAGGAGAGGAAAAAAGGACTGAAATTACCAAGGATCTCAAGAGGAAAAATCCTCAATTAAAAACCTTGAGCATAAGCAGATAAACCAACAAGGAAATTAATAACAGAAGGGATCACAATCTGTAGCTCAAATAAAACAGCCTGGAAATCTATGAATTAATATTGCAAAACAAAGGAAACTAAATCAACAGCTGATGAGACAGATGATGCTATGGTTTTTATTTTTGCTTTTTTTGGTGAGACACTTGGGGTTAAGTGACTTGCCCAGGGTCACACAGCTAGTGTCAAGTATCCAAGGCTGGATTTGAACTCGGGTCCTCCTGACTCCAGGACCAGTACTGTATCCACTGCACCACCCAGCTGCCCCGATGCTATGGTTTTTGAAGAAATCATAGAACCTCAGCATGCTATTCCTAAATGGTTTAAAAGAATGAAGAATTTTGCCACAGCAGAAATAATTAGCAGAATAGAAAAACTTGGGTGCAGCTAGATGGCATGGTGGGTAGAGCACCAGCCCTACAGTGAGGAGGATTTGAGTTCAAATTCAGTTTCAGACACCTGACAGTTACTAGCTGTGTGACCCTGAGCAAGTCACTTAACCTCTATTGCCTCAATTAAAAAAAAAGAAAAGAAAAGAAAGAAAAAGAAAAACTTGAATCCAGAGTGGCAAGTTTCACCAAAAGACAGACACGTACACACACCATGCCACACGTACAATTTGTGAATTGATTGTGAATGCAAACACATGGAAGTGAAGGATAATTTGAAAGAAGAGAAACAAAAAGCAATAACATTGAAAGAAAGCTTGATCGCCATACAAGCAAAACATATTGATCTCTAACGCAGGATGTGTAGACAACTTGAGGATTAGAAAAAGACAACTTATAGCTCTCCAGGAAGAAGGTAACAAGTCAAAAAACCTGAACACTGTGATGCAAGAAATAATACAAGAAAACTGCCCAGAATTTCTAAACACAGAAAACACAGTGCCAATCAAAATGATTCAGAAAAAACCCTATGCTGCAAACATATAATGGTTTGATTTTAAAAGTCCAATGACAACAAATTCTGCAAAAGACCCAGAGAAAAACCTTCAAAATACAAGGGAAAGGAATTTCAAATAACACAAGACTATCTGTACTCACCAGAAGGAATTAGGAGTAACATATGGAGAAAAGCAAAGCTACTTTCTCAAGATACAGCCCAAAATGACATACCCTGCAAATCTAAGCTTAACCATTAATGAAAAAGATGGATGTTCAATACAAGAGCATTAAAGCATTCCTAGAAAAAAAACTAGGCCTAAACAAATTATTAGCTTTTCAAATGTTCCAGACTGATAAAAAGCCAAACCTACATCAAACAAGGACCATGTCAACAAAGAAAGAACAGAGTACATTAAGAGATTTCTTCTTTAAAAATAGTCAATTCTTCTATAACACTTGTTTTAAAAACATGAAATTGTTCCAATATAATCGATATATTAGGGAACAATTTGAGCTTAACTCAAATTTTGAGTTTGCTTATGCTCCATTTCCTCCCCAAGAAACAGCAAGAATGCAGAAAACGGAACCATTTCACAATATCTCACAAGCTACAAGTCTTCCAATGCCCACTTCCACTAGTAAGCTTCAGGTCTTTTTCAAGGTGAAGTGCCATATTTATTTTAAGTCTTCTGGTGCAACAGAATCTGAGGTCAAAGGAGGTCTAGTCCTCACCCATGCACTGCCACCTCACCTTGGACCACCCCACTTGCCTGCCTGGCAGTTGCTGTCCACTTTGCCAGCCCAGGTCCAGTGAGAATCTTGAGAGAGAAGAGCAGAGCTATGTAGCCTAAGGTCAAGTCAAAGGCTAACAGTGAAGAGAAAATAATTCTTGTAGTCTCTCAGAAAAAAAGAAAGCCTAAAGAAAACAGATGAGGAAAAGAGAGGGACTGAAACAATAGGAAAGAAAGGGAGAAATTTTGTTTCAATGGGAGAGATATTTTGTAAAGGGAGGTGGGAACCCTCCACGGGTATAATCTGTAGGGATTTGGTTCTTAGAAGGGCCACTCATCCTGTCTCAGGAGAAAGGGAATCAGAGTTCCCTGAGCCAACTCATGGAGTGGAAGAACCTCTCAGAAAAATGGTAAGGCATGGACCTATGGAGATTTCCAAGCAAATGATGTTAAAAATGATCATGGAGAGGGCAAATGTTAATAATGAACTGTATTATCAGGGACATAGGAAAATTCATACCATGGAGCAATATCCTCTCTATCACTTGCAGAAATCAGTGTAAGAAAAAGAGGAGCAAGATCTCAGAGAAACTCCCCAATAGGTATCTTCTAGACAGTAAAAGACTATGTATAAAGGCCATAAATTAAAAAATAAAAGTCTAGAGGAGACAGAAAGGGAAGATAAATAATGGAAGAGAATGAGACGAAGAAATCCTTTTTAGAAAAAGATAAGAGAAAACAAAAATTTTAAAAACAAAACAAGTTGAAGGGGAAGAGAGGAATGGAAATTTTATTTGACTAACCCAGAGGAAAGGAGAGGGGAAGAATTCAATAACTAGGAAGGAAGGAAGGAAGAAAAAGCCACTAGTAAGTTCAGCAAAATTTCAAAACTAGGGGGTGAATGTAAGCGTTTAAGGATAAGAAATGAGAGCTGGTGGGACAAATCATGATCAGATAAAGGGATTTCAAAATTTCTGTGAGTGGAAGTACAATATTTTTGTGTGATGGCAAGGTCAAGGGCATGACCAACTCTGCAATGGAGGTGAAGCTAGGAGTAGGTCACGAGCAAACGGGAACATTGAGGAACTATGAAAATGCTTGTTTTGTTCCCTGAATTGAAAATAAAATAAATATATAAAATTTTAAAACAATGTAAAACAAAAGAGGGTTTTTGAGGGACATATGTTGCAGACTTCTAGTATGAGAGCAGGAGTTGGAAAGGAGAGAGAAACATATTTAAGCAGTTAAATACACACATATAAGTATGGATGTAGATATATACACACACAACATATATATGTATGTATCACAACACAACATACACACACACGTGTGTGTATTTAAGCGGTAGCCATACAACTGCTAAGTACAATCAATATATTGCCTTTTTTTACCTTGGGGACCTGGAGATCTCCCCTCCCCAAAGTATTTCAGACAGCACAGGGAGAATACACACAAATAAAGTAATTAACTAAGTCTGAATCCAAACGATCTCCTTGGATTTCACCTGACCCCAGGATATTTCTAGGAGAGCCGAGTCTCCGCAGGTAATACAAAGTTTTCTTAGTTTCCTTCCTACCCTCAGCCTCTCCCCAGACAGGAAACCTGCCCTCCACTCCAAATGCCTTCTGCATTATCAATCTAGATGGCTGCATTACTTTGCCAGTTTGTTTTCACTAGGGGGGGTCAGAGGAAGGGAGAGAGGACGAGAAATGGGGGTTGAGGATGGGGGAAAAGTTGGAAAGGGAAGAAAGGCGAAAGCCAAAAGCGTACCTCCCCATTCCACCAAAGAGTTTTATTCTTTTTCCATAAACAAACTTGTGAGTATATTCCTTTGCGCCCAATCACAACGCCTCACAGTAAAAACTGAGAAAATAACGAACTGACGTTGGTATATTTCGGGGGCAAGGTCGTCTGCTTGCCCTCCCCCCATACACCCCCAGCTGTTTCAAAGGCTTTTTCCTCCCAGAATTTTGTTCTCACCTCCCCACCCCCTTGCCCGCAAAGGGCAGGAAAGATGACATAGCCAGCTACTTCAGCCCAAGGGGGAGGAAGGTGGTTGAGCTAGATTAAAAGCCATGGAAGGGGCAGAGAACTTACCTACAAGACTTTCTGGCCCCCCACCCCCACCCACTCCCTTGACTTGGTTAAGTCAGAAGGAGACACGGGGAGAAGAGGGCAGACACTAGTTCAGCGGTCCTTTCGGCGGACTCCGAGGCTTCTCGCTTCAGCTGATGCAAAGAACAAGTCCTGAAGCCAAGAGGGCCCGAAAAGACAGCAGAGCAAGCTCGCCAGCGAATGGAGAACGCCCTGGAGCTCGCTAAGCCACGCCCTCCCCTGAAGGAGGGCCTGCCCACACTTGCCCCGCCTTCCCCTCCCCTCCCTCCCCTCCCCTCATCCTACCAGTCGTACCCTCTGCCACTGATGCTCAAGCTCCTTCCTTTCTCTCCACCCGAATGGTCAGAACCTCCCCTCCCCCTCTGCCAAGTCCAACCAGAAAAGGACAAAGAGTAAAGGAGATAGGTGAGAAGATTTGGTGGAAATGTACCTCCCATCTTTGCAGTCAGGAGAGGAGGTCAATGGGTGAGGAGTATTGCATGCATTATCATACACAACTGATGTGCTGATTGGTTTGACTGAATTGTTTTTGAATAATCTTTGTTATATATGGAAGAAAAGAAATCTATTCAAAAATGATGTTAAAACAAATATATCAGAAATAATCTTTTTTTAAAAGTGTTAACACCAGAGCATGCACAGAGATCCCAGTTTTGGCTGTTTGGGAATGACTAATCAATTCCCTAGCTACTTCTGGCCATGTGACAGATCAGTATTGAAAGCAACTGGAAAATCGGGAAAATTTGAAGAAAGGTAAAAAACCAAACAAACCCCAGAATGGTCCTTTGGTCTTTTCCCCACACCATGACAAGAATAACTCACTCTTTGCCCCACCCCCATCCACCATACAACCATGAGCACATCTCTGCTAAAGTACATGCCAGTGATTAGACAACGAGGGGGGAAAGGCAGGGGTCTTGGGCAGCTTCTTATGTTTATTCTCTCCCAATCTTTGATAAGCAGGTATGTACGAAAGGAATATGTCCAGGTCTATGACCCAGAGAGCACGGGTATTTTTTAGCCAAAGCTGGCTGTCAGCTTAGGCAGGAGTCCTTTACAACTATTTCAGTAATCCTGGAGAAGACAGCTACCAACAAGAAGCTGGCCCTAAGACTAGTCCATTTGACCAGAAAACGTGGGCTAGGACTTATTCGGACAGTGCAAAGCCAAGGTGAAATGTAAAATGCCTCATCAGCCATTTGCAAACTATGTTTTGAAGTTTGAATATCATCGTCTTGGGAGAGTATAATAGCACAAAAAAGTTCAGATTTTACGTGAGTGTGTGCTGTGAGTTTTTTGTGTTAGCATTTATTTTGTACTGAAGAAGTAATTACTTATCCCATGCGTGACTAAGCCGTACTATATCAACTACTTTTTTTTTACTCCACCCCACTTCAATTTATTGGCATGCTCCATTAACCTAAGTGTTGTTAACTGTTCTGGGTGTAGAAGACTTAAAAAAACCTAAGGGTATGAAAATAGGGAGCCTTGTACCTCCCCCCTCAGCAGATAGTGTCCCCCAGGCCTGCACCCCATAAGACCACATGTGAGTCAAGAGCAGAGGAATCTCTTAGGGCCACAGGAGTACAGTGTTCTTAATTCATAGGAAAAAAAATTATACAAAAATAGGTTGGAGGGGCAGCTAGGTGGTGAAGTGGATAGAACTCTGGCCTTGGAATCAGGAGGACCTAAGTTCAAATCTGACCTCAGACGCTTAATACTTACTGGCTGTGTGACCCTGGGCAAGTCACTTAACCCCGATTGCCTCATCAAAAAAAAAAAGGCAAAAAAATAGAGTAGCCACAACACCAGCCATAACCATATGGATGACCCTGCCTAATTTCAATGTGTAGGGAAAAGAATTGTTTTGTTTAAACTAAGATTAAGCCCAAAGCCAAATTTTATTTTTTTAAGACCACTGTCAAATGTAATAGTCAATTAACCTTTTTTTTATACAAAGAATGGCAAAAGATAGTCTCTGCTCTCACAGTCTAATGGAAGAGACAATATACAATATGTATAAACAAGCTATATACAGGGTAGATTGGATGGTTGTGGTTCATCCTTCATTCTAGAAAAGGACCACTGACTGTAGGAGGGCGATGTCTTGACTTTCAGGTGAAATGGATTTAAGTGAGGCCGAACTGGGAAAAGTCATTAGCCTCACTTTCTCCTCCAAAGTGCCTGGAGTCCAGTGGCAAAAACACAAAAGTCAAGAGGACTGGTGATGACCCACATAAAATGGAAATAATCAATAGAGGGGAAAAAATAATCAATAGAGGAAAGGTGGGGTTTTAGCTGGGATTTCAAAGAAGCAAGGGAATCTGAAAGGTAGAGATATGGAGGGAGAGCACGTCAGGCAAGGGGTACAGCCAGTGAAAATGCCCAGAGTCTGGAGATGGAGTGTCTTGTTAGAGTAATAGCAAGGAAAATTGTATCTCTGAATTGAAGAGTGTGTGGGGGCATGGAGGTAAGGTATAATAAGACTGGAAAGGGAGGCATACCTTTTAAAAATTTTAAACACCAGAGGGTTTTATCTTTGATCCTGGAAGCAGTGGACAGCCACTGGGTTTATTGAGTAGGGAGTTGCCATGATTGGACCCGAGCTTTAGGGGGATCACTTTGATAGCAGAGAAGGGGATGAACTGGGAGGGGGGGGACGACACTTGCAGCAAGGAGCCCAACCAGCAGACTTTTGCAGTAGTCTTGCCATAAAGTGATAAGGGCCTACACCAGTGCAGTATCAGAGGAAATAAAGGGACTTATTCGAGAGATATTGCAAAGGCAAAACAGACAGATCTTGGCAAGAAAGAATTCAAGGATGATATATAAAGTGTGTCATCTGGGGATCTGGAAGGATGGTGGTACCTTTGACACCAACAGGGAAGTTCAGAAGTGGGAGGGTTTAGGGGAAAGATAATAAATTCACTTTGGTTCTTGTTGAATGTCTATGGGACGTTCAATTCAAGATGTCTAATTGGTGGAGATGTGAGACTGGAAGTCAGAAGAATGGTTAGTTAGAGCTGGCTAAATATATTTGACAATCATCCCCCTAGAAATGGTAAATGAAACCAGGAAAACTTGATGAGATCACCAAGTGAAATACTGTATAGAGAAAAGAGGACAGAATGTACATGTAGTAGGGCAGTCAAAATGGCAGAGTAAAAGGTCCCAATTGCCTATCCACTCTCAAAACTTGCCCTGCAAAATAACTACAGAAAACACCAAACAGAATTCTGAGTGGGAAAGCCAAGAAAAAGTTACAATGAGTCATTTTTTTAGACCAGGGCAGCTTAGGAAGACAGAAAGAAAAGTCTGTGGACACTGGGGTGGAATCTGGCCAGGAGGGCAGCATGGAAGAAGTGGAACACAGTAGAGGTGGCACTGGCTGTGGGCTGCAGCTGTGTGCAGGGATGAGAAGGAGGATTGAACACCTGGTCAGAAAGAGAACCCAGGGACTCCTCTACCAGAACTGGAAATAGGATCAGTTGACATTTGGCAGTTCTGTTGCCAATTCTGACTGCAATTCCAGGGCTGGTCACAGTCACCAGGGAACAGGGGCCCTACCTATGTAAAACCCAGAGTACAGAATAGAAGGGCAGTAACCAGACCTCTCCCTGGATCATGCCATTTTGGAAGCACCAAAAACCTACAGGCCTTTGGATCCAGATGTGAAAGCAGAAGGACATAAAAGACAGAAGCTCAGGTCAGTCATCTCCCGACAAAGGTGAGCAGAGCCCAACTCCAACATAAAGTCCAAAGTCAAGAAGTAGGTTGGAAAAGTAAGCAAACACCAAAAATAAAACCTGACCACAGGGAAACTCAGACATAAATTCAAAAGAAGACAATGATTTGAATACATCTACTTTGCCTCAAAGAAAAAATGTGGATCAGATATAAGCCAAACAAGAATTCCTAGAAAAGCTAAAGAAAGAGATTTTTTTAAAATAAAAAAAATATTTTAAATATCAAAGAAGAGTGGAAAAGGAGAAGTTGGGAACAGAAATGAGAGCTATGTGAGAAAATTATGAAGAGAAAATTAATAGCTTGGTAAAAGAGGCACAAAAAATATTGAAGGAAATAATTCCTTAAAAATCGGAATTGGAACCAGGAGAACATTGTACACAGTAACAGTCATGTTGTGCAATGACTAACATTGATAGACTTAGCCCTTCTCAGCAATGTGATCTAAGACATCTCCAAAAGTCTCATGATGGAAAATGCTATCCACATCCAAAGAAAGAACTACAGAGTTTGAATGCAGATTGAAACATACTATTTGCTATTTTTTTCTTCTGTTTTGTTTAGTTTCCTCTTTCTGATGGTTCTTCCTATTGGTTCTAATTCTTCCTTACAACATCACTAATGTGAAAATATGTTTAATAGGAATGTATGTGTATAGCCTATATTAGACTGCAAGCTGTTTTGGGGAGGGGGGAGGGAAAGGGAGAAAAATTTAAAACTCAAAAGCTTATGGAAGTGATTGTTGATAAATCAAAATAAATTAATAAAAAATCAAAATTGGCCAAAGGATAAAAGAGAGACAAAACTTCATTAAAGAAAATAACTACTTGAAAGTTAGAATTGGTCAAGTAGAAGTTGATGACATCATGAGACATAAATAAACAATAAAATAAAGTAAAAAATCTGAAAAATAGAAGAAAATATGAAATATAGGAAAAATAACTGACTCGAAAATAGATCAAGGAGAGATAATTAAAGAATTGTTGGACTACCTGAAAGATCATGATGAAAAAATGGTCTTCAACATCATATTTCAAGAAATTATAAAGGAAAACTGCCCAGATACCTTAAAAATCTCAGTAGAAAATGAAAGAATGCACCCAGTCACCTATGAAAAGAAATATTAAAATAAAAACTCACGGGAATATTATGGTCAAAATGCAGAGCACCAAGGTCAAGGAGAAAATACTGAAAGCAACCAGAAAAGAAATCATTCAAATACTGTGGAACCATAGTCAGGATCACAAAAGATTTAG